AGAGTATATATGAGTATATAGTGACACAATAGATGACAGCCTAGGAAACCCTGTGGGGCAGTTCTACTCTGTCACATGGGAGCACTGTGAGTGGATGATCTATTAGAGTATATACGAGTATTTAGTGACACAATAGATGACAGCCTAGGGACCCCTGTGGGCAGTTCTACTCTGTCACATGATGTCGCCATGTGCTGGAATCGACTTGATGGCACATAGCAATAACAACCATGAAAAAGTCCTTTGGTGTATCACCAGCTAAATAAGCATTTTGTACATCACTCTAGCCCTAATTATTTTTTGGAGAAGATGGTGTCTCAGCGGCAAAACAGTATTATCAATAACTCAATCATATTCGCTTTCTTTGTGAAATGGACACATTCGCCGAAATTTATGGCGTTTCTACGAAAACGCCGAATGTGTTCATCCGGTAAATGAAGATTATTTACCTAGGTAAATTCCAAGGGAGTAGCTTTTGCTTCCAGTATCTTCTGCTTGCTCATAATGAAGTGGGAAGCAGACTCCATTTCCCCCATAAAAGTTTCTGAAAGAATCCTCATTCCACAGTGGGATTACAGCGATGACAAGTCCCGTGAGCCAGATGCCAGTGAGAATGGCGGCCATCAGTCCTGTGCCCGGACGAATGTTGCTGAAGGGGAAAACGATGGCCAGGAACTTCTCCAGAGCCAAGAAGGTGAGCAGTAGGACCGAGACTTCAGAGGAGAGCAGGGCCAGACAGCCCAGGAGGTGGCACTGCAGGCTGTCCGTCCACAGCAAGGCAGACTTCTGGTACTGCCCCCCATACTGGAGCTCGACAAAGCCCAGCAGGAACAGGTAGATGCCCATCAGACAGTCTGCACCTGGTGAAGAATGGGTGCAGTGGGAGTCCTGGTGTCATGGATAGGACTGTGCCTACCCCAAAACCCTACCCCTATCCAAACCAAGGAGTCCTGGTGTGGTGCTGCGGGTTAATGCACTGGACTGCAAGGTTGGTTTGAACTGCAAGGTTGAGGTCCAAGCTCACCAGCTGCTCCTTGGAAACCCTATACAGGGTCACTATGAATCGGAACCGACTCAATGGCATTAACCAACAGCACCCAAACCAAAGGAGTCCTAGTGGTGCCCTGGATTAGGCATCGGGCTGCTACCTGCCAAGTCGGCAGTTTGAACCCACCAGGTGCCCTGTAGGAGAAAGATGAGGCTGTCTGCTCTGATAAAGATGTACAGTGTGGGAAACCCTACGCAGGTTCACTTTTTGAGTCAGAACTGATTGATGGCCATGGGTATCCAAACCCAACCCACTGCTGTCTAGTAGATTCCACGTCACAGAGACCCCGTAGAACAGAGGACAACTGCCTCATAGGGTTTCAAGGCTGTAAATCTTTCCAGAAGCATACAGCCGCCAGTGTTCGGGTCAGCGGCTGAGTTCCTTTAACTACTGGGTCATGAGGCCTCTTTCTCACCCTGATACCTGCGGTCGCTTACGTTGATGAGGCGATGTTAATGCTTGCTGTTGCTGTGAAGTGACATCAGAATCAGACTATTCCAATTCATAGCCACCCTGTATACGGTTTCCAAGGCTCTAAATCTTCTCAGAAGCAAAAAGCCTCGTCTTTCTCTCACAGAGCAGCTGGGGGACTTGAACCGTGGACCTGCGGTTTGCAGTCTAGTGCTTCTCGCATGCCTAGTGTTAGTGTAGGGTATGTCTAAGTCCATTTCTTCTGCGATATAAACCAAACTGAGCAGATTAGGTACAGAGCAGTGTGCAGAGACATGAAGAGAGATGCCACGCCACATCTCCCAGGAGCAGAAGTTCAGAGACAGAGAGAGAAAGCCTCTAGAGCCGGCACCCTGTGAACCTCAAGGTCAACAGTTTGAAACTACCAACTGTTCCGCGGGAGAAAGGCGAGGCTTTCTGCTCCTGTAAAGATTTACAGCCTTGGAAACTCATGCAGGGTCGCTATGAGTCGGAACCCATTTCATGGCACACCACCACCAGCAGCAGCCTGTGAGAGAACATATTTCTGTTTGTTAACGCCACTCCCTTGTGGGGCTTCTGCTGTAGCAGCACTTGAGAACTTAGCACCACCACTGAGGGTTCAGCATCTGACTTTTCGGACTAGATCTTAGTCCTTCATCCTGTTTTCAGTGACGGGGAAGTCACAGGACTTCAAAATCGGTGCTCTTTCTAAAGCACCACGATGTGGTTTGGGTTTGTACTTTTTTTTTTTTTTTTTTTTTACAAAAATAGGGTGCAGTGATTTCTGTGTGTGTATTGGGAGATTCAAGTTCACACAGAGGTGCCTTGGAAGAAAGGCCTGGAGACCTACGTCATTGAAAGCCCGGTGGCGCACAGTTCTGCTCTGATATGTGTGCGGGGGAGAGGAGTGCCATGAGTCAGAATTGACTTGACAGCAACTGGTTTGGGGTTTTAAACAGTAAGCATGCATTACTTGCTTGGTTAATGAAAGGACACATTTTGCGGGCCTGAGGAGGCTGGATTTTATTACAATGGAACAAAAGCTTAGTTTTATCATCTCTCCAGTTGTCTGCTCCCGTCATCCCGTTTCTAAGAAGAGTTTCTAAGAACAGTTGTAAGTTCATGCAATCTAAAACAGAGCCACCACCAAGAGCAGCAGACTTATATTTAGGGAAAAAATATCTGGCATAATATAATCTCTATGAAATGCCACTGAAGAAGGCCCATATGTGGGTAGCATATAGCAGATAGGGGGTATTGTAAATCTACTTTGATAGTAAACATACTCACAGTAAAGGGCTTTAATGGACATAGCGTGAGTCCTCTTTTCAGCCTTCACGAAAGATCTCATACCAATGACCAGCAGATTTCCAAAGCAGGTCATGCAGGCTATAATCCAGACAAATATTCTGAGGACATTGTTAGCCAGGAGGTCCTCAAACGAAGAGATGTCATCAGTCAAGGGCGTACATATTCGAACATGGGGAGCATAGGAGCAATATCGGAAGTTCTTGAAATAACTAAAGTCAAATTGGGGAAGAAAAGTGTCATTACATAGGAATGACCCACGGAGGATAGTGGTAATCATACCAGGGCCACAACTCCATGATGGGTATACAACATCACAACTCTACACTGGTCTACATAGGGTTTATGACTTCACAA